GCAAAGAAACAAAAGAATCTTGGAGATACAGAAACACCTTCACCTTCATGCACTATCCTAGAAATATGAGCAAACTTTCTCAAAAAGACCATTTTTTTTCAATCTATGGGATTTGCAAAAGCCCTGGGGTTTGAGAACTCTGTGGGCATCTGCCTGGGTGGGCGGGTAACTGGGACACGCCCACCAGAGGTGGGTCTGGGGCCTCAGAGCCAGCAGCGCCACCCACCACGGAGGGGGGGTGACGGGGGGGGGGGCGGCGGTGGTAGTGGTTTGCCCCACCGGTCCCTTTGCATCGTTCGGATGATGAGGGTACAAGTTCCTGCCACGTGTCTACAAGGAAAAGAGACAGAAAACAGCACAGCGTCCTCAGGAGGAGGCCACAAATGCACAAAGTCTGGCTCACTCCCCTGGGGAGAAGATGCAGCTGTGTAAAAGGTGGAGGCACCTCATTCACCGGCCTAAGGGGTCTTCACGGGACAGTGGAGACATGGACAAGGGCAGAACAGTGTGTGCACATGTGTGAATGGCACATTCTCATCTGTTGGTCGGAGCATCGAGAAGCCCCAGAGAATCTGTCAGTTTACTTGCGGGTGGAGGAGTCAGGGATGCAAGGAGACTTTCCAATCTTCCCAGGGGAACTTTTTACACGGATTTAAATTTTTTGTTTATTTATTTTTTGTTAATCCTCTAGGATATTTTCCCACTGATTTTTAGAGAGAGTGGAAGGGAGGGAGGAAGACAGAGAGAAACATCGATGTGAGAGAGACACATCAATTTGTTGCTTCCCGTACACGCCCGACCAGGGCTGGGGATCGTAAGTTGAAGAAGAGCAGGACACCTGTTTGTGCTGCGAGGAGCCTGTGATTTGGTGTCACGCTGCATTTAGGGGGGGGCGTCGTGTTGTTGATCTGCGTCCCTAGAGGCAGCCCCTCATCATGGAGTGGGACGCTATTCGCCTGGGGTCCGGGTTTTAGGGGTGTGTGTGCCGGAGCCACAAGGCTTTGATCCCTGGCAGAGAAGGGGGAGAGTCTGCCCAGCTGCCCGTGGGAGGGCCGGGATCACAGCCCCTGCCCAGTGGGCGCCCAAACCGCCAGGCCCCGGGAGCCCCGAATTACCCATCTATGTCCCAGGTGGTATGGTTGCCATACCCCTTC